TTTGAATCAAGATCTCTTCTTTGTACCCCTATAATTTTTTATTCTTAATATTTTATTTAAGGAAGATATTTACTATATGAATCATGTCTTTTGGTATTCAAGTGATCTTATCTTTGATGACATGATTTATTTATATTTACGACACGAATACCTTAAAATGATTGAAATATTTTACACTATTATGTTCTTCCCTTATTCTTTCTTGTTTATAATGATAAAAGGGGGAAAAGTTATAATCATACATGGTAGGATGTAATTTGACAAATTGATACAATCATGATGTAAAATATTTATGATTTGGAATGATGCATGCAATACTTATGCTTTTTATTATGATGATGTATATGATGTATTGCATATGATGTGAATCATGATTGAAATTGCTTTGATTTGAATTCAAGGTTTATCACAATTATGACATTTTGAAAGAAGAATGAATACTTTACCTTTGTCATGATTTGAAAATTATTATAAAGGGAAAAGAATTACAACATTGTATTCTTCCCTTCTTTTTGACAATGACAAATGGAGAGAAAAATTGCTAGCTCCAGATGCAAAATTTGAAAACTTGCACATTGCAAAAGAAGCAAATTTGCTAGCTTGCTCATCTCAAAAGAGAAGCAACAAGTGCTATCTTGCCTATCTCAAGAAGCAAAAAATGTTAACTTGCACATCTAGCAAAATTTACAAACTTGTATATTTCAAGAAGCAAGAGTTGCTTTCTTGAACATCTCAAAATTGCTAGCTTGTATGTTTTAAAATGTTATAAAATTATTGCTAGCTTGTATGATGATAAAACTGAAGATTATGTTTAGTATGTGATGATTTGACATTATATCCAAACACTTGATAGTTGAACTTCTCCTTTTTGTTGATGACAAAGGGGGAGAATTATGATGTTATGCATAAGTTTTATGATAACATGTAGCTTGGATTTTTGAATCCAAGAGTTCTATCAATATGACATATTGATATGAGAAGTTTGTTTAAACTTCGAGAGTTAAGGTTAACTCCGTAATCAATTGGTTGTCATCATCAAAAAGGGGGAGATTGTTGAATCTCATATTTTGATGATGAAACTAATTGATAAGTGCTTATGATTTGATATGTGTTTTGAGTGACGCAGGATGCTTCGATCAAGGAGAGACATTTAAAGCAGGAAGAATCATGTTGGGCCGGAGAAACATGTTAGAAGATTGGACGTCACGTTGGAGGATCGGTCGACGTATCGACAGAAGGCTTTGGACCATGGATTCGGGCATCAAGCCAAGAAGAACGGATATTGCGCCAAGGATATCGGAATTGTGGAGGTCAACTGGTCGATTGGGTAATAGGCCGTAAGAGAGGATGATGTGCCGAAAAATCGGACGAAGCGTCGATGGACCAATGACATGCCGGACAATATAATTCATGCTTAGTAATAATTGTCTAGATCGATGTGTGTTTTATGTGTGCAGGATTAACTACGATAGTAAGACATAAAGCAAAATGAAGTTCCGGAGTCAAGAACGCAATTTCGTTGGGAGTTCGAGAGTTCGTTGGAAGTCCGAACGTTCGTCGAAAGTCTGGACGTTCGTCGGAAGTTCTACCGGAATTGACCAAAACGTCCAGGAGCTTGCCAAAGAAGCTCATCAGAACTCGACAAGAAGATCGTCATGAAGTCCAAGAGCTTGTCGGGAGTCCGCCGAAATATTACCGAGAGATCGTCGGAAGATCGCCGGAAGAAACCGAACTTATATTGCTTAGAATATGACCTAGGAATTGTAGTTAGCACATAATTGGAGTTGGGATTGGGAGGTAATCCCATCAACTTTGTTAGGGGCTAATTGGGTTCGAAGTTGGGCTGGTTTAGGTCGGATTCAAGGCCCATGATGTTGAAAGCCTTATCGGCGGTGGCACCGCCTGGGAGACTCGGTCTCCCAGGTGGTCTGGGTAGAGGTACCGCTAGTAGAAAATGTTGCCAACGGTGGTACCGCCTCTACCAGGCAGTGGTACCACCTAGATTGAGTGGTGGTACCGCCTAGTGTCAGGATGCCAGGCGGTGGTACCGCCTAGTGTCAGGATGCCAGGCGGTGGTACCGCCCAGCACAGCCGGTGGTACTGCCCGTACTCGAAAAACCTCGGATGAGATATTTTTAGGCTCCAAGTTTAAATCAACTTTAAGCCTATAAATGCCCCTCTCATCCCTGGTTAAGATACACAAGACTTGAGAGTAAAAAAGGAAAGAAACGCTGCTGCAATCTTGTGTGAACTCCTCTCCTTCTTTTAAATGTTAGAATAGTTTGAGAGATGAGTAAGTGGGGGTGTAAGGGTTATCTCCTAAACCCGGTAAAAAGAGAATCGAGTTGTAAAAGGTGGTTGGTCTTCACCAATTGAAGGAAGACCGATAGTAGATGCCGGTGGTCTCGACGGAAGAGGAATCGGTGGAGTGGATGTAGGTCACGACGACCGAACCACTATAAAAATCTAGTTTGTCTTTACATTGAGTAATTTACTTTTATAGCAAACTGCCTCTCCTCTTTATTGTGCTTTTACTATGCTTACACTCGCATACGCTTTCAAGTTTCCGAAATTGGTTTTCAAAGTACGAAACATTTTTAGAACCGACGTGATTTTATCGCTGCACTAATTCACCCCCCACCCTGCCGACTCATTCCTAATAGGAAAAGCTGACACATAATAAGTGATAGGTGTACGTGAGGACTAGGTTTGCTCTACGATGTATGGAACTTCTAAGTTATTATTTGCTCGAACACCTCTCCAAGTGCGTAGACCAATAACGTTGCGACCATGAGCACCCCGAGTGATAGGACCGCTATTATCTGGAATTAGCTCAATTACTCCTATAATAGGTTAAAAAAAATTATTGGTCAAAGTCAATTAAGGGACTTGAACAACTACATACCTTAGACCATGCTTTGATACCATTAAAAGATGTCACATCTAAGATTTTTTTTTTAAAATAACATATTTCCACATATTCAAAGACAAGTAGATGAACATCACTTTATTCATAATTTATAAGCATATATTATAATTTATTTATTCATCAGATCATAAGTGAAAAAGTAAACATAATGATGTTAACTCAATGAATCATCCACGTGGCTCTACCTAGCAGCAGAGGAAGGCCTGCTCTCCATTGGAATATGATTTAGTACTAGTGGGAGGCTGCTCTAAAAATAAAAAACAAAGAAAATTCAGTAATACTAAGTTGGAACTCCAAAAGTCAACTCAAAATGAATACATGATAAAAAATTAATCATCTCATTGACATATATCAAATACCCGAAGAAGCACTCTCCCAACAACGGATATAGAGACTGCACCTATGGGATGAGTTTGCATTATCCTAACAACGGATGTAGGCAAAATCATATCATACTCCCAACAACGGATGGAGTGGTGTCCCTTACCTGCCAAAGTGAAGACATGTTCCTTCCAATAGTAGATGGATGAACCGTCTAGTCGCCACGTTTGACGACCGGCTAATCCCCAAAGGGAATCGCCCTACCTACCCTCGGTAGGGAAATAACATAATCTCACACTAGTCATGTCTATATCGGAATGAAATAATGCATTTAAAACACATCTTTCAAATATCATCAACATTAAATAATATAAATTAACCCTCAATTGACTTGAACCCTAGTTCAATCGATCTAATTGAACTCGATTTACTAGAACCTAATTGAAATGATCTCTAATCATCATTTAACTGATTTGGAACCATCCTAGACTAGTATAATTTGAACTAGATTAGGTTCAATTTAGGTTAAACTGACTTAAATAAGTTAAACCAATTCGGAATCGAATTGATCTAGACTAATCAAGTCTGATTTAGTTCAATCAACGTTTGGGCTCAAATCCAACAATTACATAATATTAGATTAGGCTAGGCCGACTCAGGTCATGTGTACTACACAACTATGCTTGCACCATAGTAGGTTGGGCCAACCATGGCCCATGAACTGGTCATATGCCTCGCATATGACTGCCCATGTTGGGTTGGGTTAGCTTGCGGGCTAGGGCCTGACCCGCGGGTTAGGCTTAGCCTATGGGTTAGGCCTAGTTTATTAACTGGGCCTAGCTAGTGGGCTATAGCTTGACCTATGGGTTGTGCCTAGTTTGTGAGATGTTCTAACCTTATGCCTATCTAATTTCATCAATATTGAATTATGATAATATATATTCATTAACAATAATATATTAAAATATAACATCAGATTAAAGAATAAAATTGAAAGATAAACTTCGATATAAAGAAATAACATTCTTAATTTAATACAATTTCAATACTATGAATAATTTCAACATGATCCAATCAAACAATAAAATTCTAAATTTTAAAAAGGATATAAATTTTCAGATAATATACTATAATCTAACAATAAAAATTTTAATAATTAAAGGATTAATTTTTTTTAACTACTCATAATATATTTTAATCCATATAAGATTAAAAGGTAAACTACAATACGAGAAAATAATATTCCTAATCCACATATGAAAAATCAAATATCATATATTCAATACATAAAATATGTATAATTTTAGTATATTTAGATTAAAGAATCCCTTAAAAATTACATATAATATATCTTAATCCAATAATAAATATTCTAACATTAAAAAATTGATAAATATTTTTAAACTATAAAATATTTAATATTTAAAGAATCAAAATAAAAAAATTTTATTTTCAAGAAAGATAAGAAAATCTACCTTTATCAGTCGGATGTAACTCCTCTTCCTTCCGCTGTTGGACTCGACTAGATGAGGAACGAAGGAGAAAAATCCCTTCCCCTTAAATAGAAGGAGGTAAGCCTCCATTAAAAAAAATTATCTTAATTTTTATATGTATTTAATATAAATTATTTTTATTTAATATTATAATAAATATAATATTATCCTATTTGAAATGCTTAATAATCATTTCCTAATTTACACTGGTAAATAAGAAAACAAGATTAATATTTCCTAAATTAGAATGATAAGTAAGAAAATAAAAATTGATTCCTAAATTAAATATTTGATTTGATTACATTTTGACCAACTATAAACGAGAAGAAAGAAAATAAGGGCTTGAGAATTCATTTTGAGCAGAAAGTATGTTTCTGGGGTGGTGTTCAGTCTACTTCTAAAACCACCTTGCCAGGTATAATTCTTTTCTCTTTCACCTCATGAGCTTTTCTAACTTTGGCAATGGGGAATGTTTCCTCCACAGGTATCTTCAGCTTCCCGGCTTCTGAAAGCCTGCGGAACTCGTCTAAACCTTCAGCATCAGCCCTCATGTACGTCCACCAGTACTCTGATATTTTCAACATCACCAATATTTATCAGTACTAAGACATGATCTCAATAACTGATCACATTTCTGGAATGTTAACAAGATAAATTTACTTTTTTCAAACATGTCTCTGAAAATAAAAGCATGCAACAGGTAATCAAAGAAAGCTTTTATCTTCATGCTTCACGAAAGAGACTACAGAAACTTTAAAAGATCAAGCAGTGTGATTACAGCTACTGGCATCTTGTAGTAGGGAATTCTATAAAATCTAATCTGATAATGGAAGTTTGCATTCCGCTCTAATATGTACGTCCATGGAGAAACTCCAACTGGATGAAGGTAAACTCCATAAACATAAAACTAACTGTGAGACAAAAATCAACAATCATGGATCCTCAAAGGTGAACTACACCAAATTGGCCATACTGGTCTGTCATCAGTTGAATTGTCATTTTGAACTTGCAGTATATCTTCTCCTGAATTGTTGGTACCCATAGTGATTGTAGCCCTCTTCCTCCATAAGAGTTTCCTTACTAAATTTTAATGTGACCTCTAGGAATTCTGGTGATCATACTCAGGTGGGAATCTCAACTTATTGTTGAAAAATATAAAGTGTGAATAAGAGGAAGAGGATGGATGGATCATTGTAGAAGTACAACACAGCAATCACAACATGCATGTGATCCATCAATGTCCCACAACTATGCAACGGGAACACTAAAATTTAATCATAATGTACTAGTTGCAGTAGCATAATTGAACTATTAAGAGTCAAAAAGCTAAGAAGACAACTATATTAACTGTGCTCTAATCATGACAAATACTAATTTAGGTAGGTTAGAAACCCCTCATCCCTCATCTTTAGTTAATTTCATATCAGTAGGAAATACGCAGGAGGAGGGGGGGAATTTACAACCAGGTTAGGAAATTGCAATTCCCAACCAACTGAAGGCAACCCAATTAATAATATAATACCTAATATAATACTTCACTCAAATTAACCTACTTGGAGCAGGTTTTGCTCATGATTGCTACCCCTACAGAAACACCACATGCTAGAAATATCATAGCAAGGCCACTTGAGAAGAATCCGGCATCAAGAATTAATGTGATAGTAAACCCTGGATCCTTACCCTTACCCTTTGAAGGACATGTTATACCCTTTGAAGGACATGTTATTTTATCAATTATATAAGTAACTGAAAAAGAGAAACAGCTTTGTACCTATTCCATGAGAATATCGATACTGAAGTTGCTTCTTTAACAAAATAGTAGTGGCAGCAGGAATACCAATGACCAACCCATACTTATCAGCTAAAGAAGCTGTTTCTCCCTATAACATTGGGGGTAAACTTCAATTTCAGTGACAGCACATTAAAAGAAGATGGAGATGATGAACAAAAAAGGGAGTTGCAGGGGATCAAAACACTAATGATTTGAGAAAACAGATCCCAGACACTTGCCTGTAGCATCATATAGTGTCCACCTTTCTTCAGAAGATTGATTCCTGTTCTCTCAGTTTCAGGTACACCTATAGTGTCAAGAACAGCATCGAACTGTCCTTTAATTGCAACTTCTATGTCCTGTAAATGCATGATGGTATGATGTCCAGTGAGCAACAAACTAACCAATTGTATAACTAGCTAGAATGAGACTGTGACAGACATTTGTGTTCATTTAAATGAATCATGTGTTGCATCATTCATGTACCACTACAAGAAGTACTACGATAACTTCTGTTGCTATCAATCTTTAGCTTCTATCATTTCTGTTCTTTCCTGCCAGTTGTAGTACTCTCCAGTCTCCATGATATTTCACAAAATGCTTGTTATTATGATACATTAAAGCTGAATTAAATAAGAACTTCTTCACCAGAAAATGTTCTTTTTTCTGGTGCATGTGTGTTTGCTATCTCAAGTAGCTTCGTATGAGGCTACTTATGCGTGCTTCTTTTTTCCCTTTTTGTTTGGAAGGAACAGGGAGGAACATACTAAACAAGCTTTTCTTTTCTTTACTGAGAAAAAAAGACTGGTAGACAGAGCCCCCAGAAACCAGAAGAAGCTGGGCACAGCAAATTGAGTTAAAAGCTTGGTTCAATGACAAGCAAGCATCTCAATTTCTAGGATGAATTCTACCATCCCCCCTTGAAGCAAATGAACACCAAGATACCCAATTTGACTTCTCAAATAGTTTGCAGGTCCAGTTAGTTGCAAAAATCCTGTACTAGCATGACAAAATGAACAACTACTGGAAGTTAAGCTTCATCCACTTAGAATATTATGCTAACATGAAAACTTTGTCTACAATTACCTGGAAAATTTAAAATACTCTTATCATCTGAAACAGAATTTTAACTTTGTGCTTGCCAGTTCAATGCATCTTTTTGCCAATTCTAGATATCTATTGGCAACATCATCCTAATAGCATGTGCATTGCAGTAAATATAAGTATCTTCCTCACAACAAAGAAAAAAACTATATAGTAATTTATAATCATTTGCATTTTCCACATTAATAAAATGTATGTGTAATGACATTAAATAAACACCAGATAATTTAATTTAGCAATCTTTCCTACTGGATGATTGTGTGATTATAGCAAAATGATTGCATATTTGCAATCACAACAAACATTTTCATGTTTAAAACCAAGCGTCTCCCAAACCACAACTGTACAGTCACACGAGGGATAAGTTCCTCTAAGTGGCAACTACTCAGGTATACGACACTTACCTCAGCAGTATAATCAATGGCTTGTTCAGCACCAAATGCCAAAACTCGCTCAATGCTCTGGCTTCCACACGTAGCTGATACACTGCACCCCGCGGCGACTGCAATCTGAATTGCAGCTAGTCCAACTGCTCCTCCCCCACCTAGTACTAACAACCTTTGACTGCATAAATAAACAGCGAGCAATAGCAGGAACGAATAGGATACTGTGGCCAAGTTAACAACCTTTTGTATCTGAATAGTGTATCATCTAAGATTTTAGCCTAGCATTTTACAAGTTTGTTTAATCTTGAGAACATGATGTGCAGAAACCAGATGCACTGAGTTCAGTTGAACGAAAACAAGTGTCCTGAATCAACCATAATCATATGCTTGGAAATTGGAATTAATCCTTTGGCACCAGTCCAAGACATGTTATTTTACAAAACCATTTTGATTTTCATCATCCCCTGGACATATTTCAAAATACCCAGAACTCTTCACGCGTATAATAAGAAATAAAAGCACAAATTGTAGCAGAAAACCAAAAACTATTTGGCTATATTAATAAAGATAACTACTGCAAAGTATGTCAGCAAAAGAAAACATTATTCTGTGCCTGTAGATGAATAATCACTATAACATGCCAAATAGACATCTGCTACTCCATAAGAAATTGACATGTCCTTTGGGAAGACTCTGAGCAAAGCAACTGGACATACCCATTAGTTATTCGAGCTGTACTTTTTAAAGCACGCCAAGCTGTCAGTGCAGCAAATGGTATTGCACTTGCATCCTGCACAATCACAAAGTTTTCTAAGATGTACCATGGTCCATAGATGTCCCCAAGTATTCAGATGTAGCATCATTAAAGCATCCCATTTTCTCTAGATATGAACTTTAAGAAAGCATTGGTGCTGCTATACATATATTGAATCAGTTTGCCACAAATATCAACTTGTTCCTATTTCAACAAAGACAGCAAAGGCAATCCATCAAGATGACATTCATTATTTATAACCATAGAAAACAAGGGTGATTTGTATTTATTCCATGGGGTGCTCTGTGTAATTTTAGGTGTATGAAGAGTTTCTGTTTTGAGATCTCACAAGGAGTAGAAGATGGCCCATTTTCTAACTAGCCAAGTTTGCCTGAATTCCAAATTGCCAACAGTTAGTTTTCTAGTTCACCCTTGGTAAAACTTGGAAAAAGGAAAGACATGTTGTCACACACTTCAAAAATAACTAAAAGAAACAGCTGGTAAGTACACATGCTTCTCCCTCACATTTGCATGTAACAATTTAAAATATTTACACTTGAAGTATCAAAAAGTTAAAGCAATAAAAATGAATTTAAATAGAACAATAGCTAGAAAATCATATTTGGCTGTCCTAGTCTGAGTAAAAAAAAATTCTTAAAAGCACAAAGCCACTATCTTTTTTGACCAAAATGGCTTAGAGAACACTGAAGAAGAAAAAGTTTCTTCCACTGAAGAAAGTCTTCAAGCATCAAACAAGATGTTTAGGCCTCATATAGAGCATTTTCTAGTGACTCAAGAATCAAGCTGCTAAAGCTTGACATACAAACACAAGGTTGATAGCATAATACATGAGCACATTGGCTAACTGCTGTTGGTAATAAACATTTTTCTAGCCATGCTAGATCATGGTCCTTGTAACTCATGATTTTCTAGTACTGGAAACATATCAATGAAAGATATTGAACAACCAATGGCAAGTCTTGATCCTGTTCAAACAGAATAGAGGCAGGTGGAAGCCATCAAGAGTTGCAGAATATAAATGATCCAAACCAATCTTACTCACCACGTGTTGCTGAAGGTGGTTTAAGTGTCAACTCATCTTCTGAGAGAATGGCATAATCTGCATAAGTACCCCTAACAGCTGTTGGATGTAGTGCACCGAAAACTTCTTGACCAACAGTCAGTGAAGAAACTGAAGTTCCAACAGCTGCAACTTCACCGCTAATGTCACGACCAATAATTAGAGGCAAAAGTGGTTCAAAAATGGAACAGCCATAACCAGATCGCATCTGAAATAACAAAATTTAAATCTCTTCAATAAGATTATATATTAATATATTTAGTTAGAAAATCAATGGATGCTAATTTACATATGATTCTGCCTTTGAGGTTACGTTGGAGATTATTTGTACTTTGCATCCACATAAAACTTAAGCACTGACAACTTAAACTTTTTGTATTATGTTACCGTAATTCTCAGGAATTATGCTTAAGTTTCTAGAGTCCCACTGCCTTTCCAATAGTGACATTAGTTACACTAACAGTATGAAAAAAAAAATTGCAAAAGCATTTGTCATAAGTTCAACCATTAACTGACCCATGATCTTCTCATGATCCTTTCGGAATCATTTCCCACTCTTTCCACAATCATATCCCTATTTGTCTTCTGTAATTAAAACATTTCTTAAAATACTACCATGTTGTGATTACACCATTATCTTATAATTTATAAATTTGCAAGAACTACAATATAAGTGGGGTTACTAATTTGGATCCAGGTGCAAAAGAAGATTCAAAGGAAGTCATATTAATTCTTGACCATTTATAGGCTCCAACCATAAGGAAACAAGCTTTAATAAGCTTCCCTTGTTACTGCTATGAAGAGTTATTAATCTTTTTCACTATTCTTCAGTTAAGAGACACTTACACACCACCATTGACGTACTAAGATCAAAGTCCTCATGTACCTTACCCATCCACTTTCAAAAAACCTTTCCAACGACCACAATCGAGTCCTTTCTTGTGTCTTGGATCATTACGAGTATCCATTTTGTGTTGTATCTTAAATACTGTTTGTTCTCCACCAGGGCTCCTGACCTTCCTAAGTTTCATGCATTTCTCTCTTTATCCTTCCAACTCTTGCACTCTTTCCTCCCAATACCTCCAAGTCTATCTCAATTTTATGAGATCGTCAACATTCCTCACCATATTCTTACATGATAATTCAATAGCATCTATAAGTCTCACCGCACCATCAGCCTTACATCCCCCAAAACTCATCTTTAGTTCACCGTTTTGTGGGAGGAACTGTTCGACCTTTTGCTTGCTTCGCTACAAGTCCCTAATTCCCAAAGACACATGACTCGATTCAAAAGGTGAAAACTTTCGGTAGAGGATTAATTCACGAACTCACCCGCAAGTCCAGGGGATTGATGGAGACGGCGCGGGAGCGGACAAGCACGTCCCGCGGCTTTAGACTTGGGACGCCGACGGCCGGACGCACCTCGCGGACCTCGGGCCCACCGAACCGCGGTAACATCACGGCCCTGCACGACGACACCGCGGCCGTGGAGGTGGCCCTGAGCCCCACCGCCGGCGCGAGGAGTCGGTGGCCGCCGAGCTGCCACATCGCAGGCGTCCCCCACCCCCCCGGAGCTAGTCGGCGGCTTACAGCCCTGGCGGCACGCGACGGGAGCGAGAGCGGACCGCGTAGCGTGGAGAATAGAGTGCAGGCAAGGGGGGCGTCGAGTCCGACCAGTTGTTGGAGTACCACCATCCCCTGGAGGCGGCGATGTGTTCTCCGGTCGGCCGCGCACGCGCCCCAAACGATGGTGTCGACATCGAAACCGAACCCGACCCAATCGCGACACAAAGAGTTGTTTTTATCTATTTTCTTCATTATAATATTAGGATTTTTAAATATGTATCCTCAATAAATTCAGAAATATCATAGAGCGATTTTTCTACAAAAATATTCATATTTTTTGGTATTTATAATCAGTATCTCTCTCTTTTCTTTTTTTTTCTCTCAAACTATCCCTCAAGAATTTTTCTACCTAGTGTTTTTACCACCATAATAAATATATTATAAAATTTATTTAAAAACACTATAAATGAACCAAATAAAATCAAAATATACTAAAAACTATTTGATATATAATATTATAATTAAAAAAATATTTATAATAGTTTTGTTATACTGTTTTAATCACCATAATAAAAACACTGTAAAACCTATTCAAAAATACTGTAAATAATTTAAATAGATTCTTAATCTCAATAAAAACACTAGAAACGAGACAAATAAAAATATTATAATTGTTAAAAACTAATAAAAATGAGTAAATTTTTTTTGAAAGATATTTTGACTAATTTTCAAATTAGAGATACTTCTTAAAAAATAGTAAACGACATTTTTTAAGAAATGTATATATTTATGCCATCTACTTAGGTGATAGACTATGGCAAGAGACATGGAGAAGAACTTTTTGTTGAATCTCGTATTTTGATGATGAAACTACTTGATATATGTTTATGATTTAATATGCGTTTTGAGTGACGCAGGATGCTTTGATCAGGATGAGACAATTAAAGTAGGAACATCATGTTGTACCGGAGGAACACGTCAGAAGATTGGACGTCGGGCCGGTGGATCGATCGACGTATCGATAGAAGGCTTCGGGCCGTGGACTCGGGCATCGGGCCAAGAAGAGCGGGTATTGTGCCAAGGATATCGGAGTTGCGGAGTCAACTGGCCAATTGGGCAATAGGCTGCAGGAAAGGACGATGCGCCGAAGAATCGGACGAAGCGTCGAGGGACCAATGACATGCCGGACAACGTGATTAATGCTTAGTATTAATTGTCTCGATCGAAGTGTTTGTTTTAAGTGTGCAGGATTAACTACGATGAAAGTTAGACAAGCAGCAGGAGTTGCGCCGGAGTCAAGTTCATGATCACGTTGGGAGTTCGAGAGTTCGACGGAAGTTCGGACGGTTGTCGGAGGTTCTGCGAGAACAGATCCGAGAAGTCC